TAGGGTGTGCAGAAGATTAAAGGTCCAGATCTTGATGCCCAACATTGGTTATAGGAGCAACAAGAAAACAAAGCACATGCTGCCCAGTGGCCGAAGGTTGCCCAGGGGCTTCCTGTATACCCAGCACTTCATTCTCTGCAAAAGTTGAGGAGGGAGCAGAGGTCATATCAATGTTGGCATAAATGCGCTCATGTTAGTATGTGACCTACTCCCCAATAGAATTTGAACTTTTAATTTGTTTTCAGTTAAGGGATGAAGGAGTTTGCTCTATATAATTGGGATTTTAGTTTGCAAATGAATGGTTGTATTTTTTTCATTTTGGGCATGCACAGGTACTACTGTTTTTAAAATCTCAAGATGCAGACAGCTGTGTACTCAGCCCACCTATAAACTGAAATTAGAAAACATTGACCTGTTACCATGTTCACAACCCGTGCTACACACCACACGTGCACAATGCATTCATTTATTCAAATATTAAGTGCCTATGTTTTGCTAAACACAGTCTTAGACGCTGGGGATACAAAGGCAAAGCACAGTCCTTATCCTCAAGGAACTTGATATCTAGCAAGGAAGGAAAAGATAAACTTTTCTGCAGCATTCATCACACTCTGTTATAATTTCCTATTTTCTCCTCTGTATTTCTCATCAGATTACAGGGTCCCTTCAAGCTGGCATCTCATCCATCCTGTTCACTATTGTTTTCCTAGAATCAAGTGCTCTGCCTAGATACTGAGTAGACTTGAGGGAATAACTAAAACTATATAAATATAAACAATTATATAAATAATTAAAATGATAATATGAAGATTGGGTGCCAGACTTGCTATACGAAAAATAAAAAAAGCTTCAGGAGAGCAGAAGAGACCCTGGCAAGAGGAGTATCATTAAGACTTCAAGAAAAATGACAGTGAGGAGAGCACCATCTTGGATTTGGCAATCGAGGAGTGTTTGAAGGGGCACATGTACCCAATGTTTATAGCAGCACTATCAACAATAGCCAAATTATAGAAAAAGCCCAAATGTCCATCAACTAATGAATGGATAAAGAAGATGTGTGTGTGTGTATAATATATATGTATATGTGTATCTATATATATTGTAATATTGCTTAGTGATCAAAAAAGAATGAAATCTTGCCATTTGCAACAATGTAGATGGAACTAGAGTGTATTATGCTAAATGAAGTAAGTCAGAGAAAGATAAATATCATATGATTTCACTCATATGTAGAATTTAAGGAACAAAGCAGATAAACATAGGGGAAGGGAAGGAAAAACAAGATAAAAACAGAGAGGGAGGCAAACTATAAGACTCTTAAATACAGAGTACAAACTGAGGGTTGCTGGAGAGGAAGTGGCTGGGGGGGATGTGCAAAATGGGCGATTGGTATTAAGGAGGGCACTTGTTGCGTGAACACTGGGTGTTATATGTAAGTGATTACTCACTAAATTCTACTCCTGAAACCATTATTACACTCTATGTTAACTAACTTGGATTTATTTAAAAAAAAAAAAAAAGAAGAGAAAATCCTTTTTCTTCTAGATATTGAGATGCACACAGATTTCTAACGTAAAGTGTTGTCTCAAGAGGCTCTTGGGTAGCTCAGTTGGTTAAGTGTCTGATTTCAGGTCAGGTCATGATCTCATTGTTTGTGAGTTCGAGCTGTGCATTGGGCTCTGTGCTGACAGCTCAGAGCCTGGAGCCTGCTTTGGATTCTGTGTCTCTCTCTCTCTCTCTGCCCCTCCCCTGCTCACACTGTGTCTCTGTCTCTCAAAAATAAATAAACATTAAAAAAAATTTTTTAAAAAAAGTGTTGTCTCTTACAATAGTCTCTTTCTAAGAAAAAAAATGTCTCCTGAAAAATAAGGAAGTGTTTTTAGTGACTTTTCAAAAGGAATTACTAAATTTGGAAAAGGATTATGATCCAGATTGTTATAAGTTAAAGAATGAATGAGAAATGCATAAAACTGATTGACTTGAGTTGGAAAATGAGACAGTAAATCCATGGGGTGGGGCAGAGTCTTTCACACTTAGGTAGAAGTGAAGAAATCTCTTCCCATGTTCTCTATCTGATGTAGCAGTTTTGTGTCAAACAATGTATTCTCCACATGCATGATGGAGATATCTTTACCTCTGAATTTATATCCTGATTTATCATCATTATTATAAAAAATTTTGTATTTATTATAAGAAACAATTGGATAGCTACACAGGAAAGTTGGGTATAAAAGTTTCCTGATCTAGCACATCTTGGTCATTTAAAAGTCACTCCTTTAAATAGTCACTGACTATACTATCAGTTTTTTTTTTTTTAAGCATCTTATTTTTTTAATGTTTATTTATTTTGGAGAGAGAGAGAGAGACTGAGCATGGGTGGGGAAGAGGCAGAGAGAGAGGGAAACAAAGAATCCAATGCAAGCTCCAGGCTCTGAGCTGTCAGCAGAGCCCAGCATGGGGCTCAAACCCATGAACCCATGAGATCATGACCTGAACCAAAGTTGGAATCTTAGCCAATGTAGCCACCCAGATACCCCTTTCATATCAATTGTTTTCATCAAAAGCAGTAACTCAAGGGCCAACTTTCTCATTCCTTGACCTGTTCCAAAATCTTATTCTTACATGGTTGTTAAATTATTGGCCATCTAATCTATTAAAATCATACAAAGAGAGCATAGAGTACCTGATATAGATCTGGCTTCTCTTACCCACAGGTAAGTTTGCATGGGATTCCAAAGCAGAATGCTGCCCACTGCTCTGCTTCAGAATAGATACCCCTGAAGGGCCTTCTTCCCTACGCATGTGAGACATATAATTTAAGATAGTCTGATTTAAAAAAAAACAACTTTAAAATAGAAAGTGAGTTTTTCTTTCTTCTACCACTTAAACTCACTGTTACCTTACCTTTAGCCAGAAAATTGACATTATAAAATATCACTGACACACATAGTATAAGCCTTGAAATTATATCACAGGCCAACAGTGAGCATTGAGACTCTGTTCTCTTGACTCTCTATCATCTCTAGGTATTTTTCTCAAGACCTCAGGAATGAAAGATATTCTGGATGAAAGTGGCTCTTAAGTGGAGGTAAACATATTTTCCCCTTGAGAGGAGGAAGTTGTGAAGCCAGAGCTAGGACTAATAAATTGGGACTTGGTGAACAGAATGAACCTTCTTCTCCCTCGAGTGGCCCATGAATGTGATATTGGAGGCTATGGAATCATCTGTAAGTGAGAGCAAATCTGGGAAGAAGTAAAATAGGGATAAAGATTATGAAAGATGCTGGTATTCTGAAGAGGTTTACAGGAGAATTCTAATGTAGCCATTCATTTCATTTTAATAGTTTTTTTGCTAGTTAAAATATGTATATTTAAATAACTTTAAAGCATAATATATTTCTAAGACAAATGGCAATCAGAAAATCACAGCTAAGCAGGATTTATCTTTTATAAGATAATACAAAGTCATTTTTTAGATTTCAAACTTAAAATGGACTACTTTGATTTATGTCCTATTTCTGTGAAGCATCATGTGTTAATTAGCAACATAGACAAAGCCAGCCACCTCCAAGTTGAGTTAAATTTTCAGATAAAAGTGTCATCAGTCCTCAGCTGAGTCAAGGATTTTGGTTGCTTGAATTGAAATGCAGCACTTAGATTTCAGTGATTCAGTGAGTTGGTATCTGACCTATCCTTGCAGGGTTAAAAATTGTTTAGTTTTACTTATGTTTTACAATGGATTGGTTTTCCAGATAGGGCATAATACATTAATAAAGAGCTTCTTTTAAAGTTATTTGTCTGTTTTATCAATTACTTTAGTTAATTCTTGTAAATTTAAATATTTTGAGAGAACAGAAGGTAATCTGTTGAACATAACTTTTATGTGGCACTGATATTTTCTAAAGTTTTATGAGAAAAATGGCTTTGTGATACCATAATATATTGGCTTTAGGGGATAAAAGCAAAAATATTGATGTATATGGGTTAAATCACATTTTAGTTATAACTGAATTATTTTCTGCAACTTAACTATGGAAATTGCTTAAACATGATTTATATATAATTTGAATAAATTTTATAATAAATTTTGTGAAATGGACTTCCTTAAAATGGTGGCATCTGGATAAAATATTTATGGGACAAGCAGTTTTTACATATTGAAATTAGTAATTTTCTGACAACTCATTGAAGATTAGGATTTAGTCTATGGCATAATACATAATGGCACTCTGTAATAGGGGGTAGGGGTATAAATAAGGTGGGGTTTTTTTTGGCACACTGTATACATAGAATCAACCTCTATCTTTATGGTCATACCCTGTGCTATAATTCATTTTCTAAATTTTAAACATTTAATAGGTAAACACTCCAAATATGGAATAGTCTGTAGTTGATCCTTTTCATACAGCTTTAAGTCAACATGGATCAACAGAATGACTCAAAGCCAATGTCATTCCATCTCTTGAGTTATTCCCACAAACAAAAGTCCCTCATAAACCATGATCCTTTCTTTATTTGAAGTATTCATCCCTCATGGCAAAGGACTCTTCAGCCAATCTGAACTGTGTGTGTGTGTGTGTGTGTGTGTGTGTGTGTGTGTGTTGTGGAGGCATCTTGTGGGACTGAACCCTTAATTTATGGGATCTGATGCTATCTATCTCTGGGTATATGGTATCAAAATTGAGTTATACTGAAGGACACTGAGCTGGTGTTATGGAGAATTGCTTGGCTTGGGGAAAAACCTCCATACATTTGGTGACCAGACGTGTCAGAAATAAAAAGCCAAGGCCATCATCATCCCCCAAGGTCCTTGAAGTACTGAAAAGTCTCCTTTAAAACCTTCATTTAAGTTATAATCTATCAGTATGCCCTTCTCTAACTAAATGAAGGAAAAAAATCAGCACTTTAAAATTGTATCTTAGTCTGCTCTCCTCTCTTTCTAGTTTGCCATTTATTGTATTTCTTTTATTTTTTATTTCAGATGTTCTGCATTTCAACCTCATCAAAAATTAAATTGATATTTATGGGCTAATCTGGAAACCTAAATACAGTTTGTTTCACTACAACTATAAGAAAGCATGTTCAAATTCCCATTGGCTGACTTATAAAGAGGCTTTTGGAACACAAACTAATGTAAGTTGCACATATACTGTGTTTTAATCTTTGTTTCCACCTCCTCCCCTGGTTAGGGTATGTGACTGTTGGCAGGTGTGCATGTATTATATATACCTTTGTGTCTATACACACATACCCCTTTTCACAATTCTGGGTCAATAACATTTACTCTTTCCTTCAAAAGGTATTTAGATGCCTATTATGTAAAAAGTATAGTTCTATGCCTAGAGGACATCCAGAAATGAAGTTATTGCCCTCATAGGGGTAATAGTCTATCAGAGAAACACAAAGATTAAATTGCACAACTACGTATGAAATGCATAGGATCATAGATGCTCGGAAAGGCAGTCACATAGTACTATATGAGCTGAAAACCAGGATCAGATGGGTTGCCTGGAGACGGTAGTCTTCCAGCTAAGATCTAAGGGGTGGGCAGGATTTAAAAGGGCAATAGAATTGGGAGATGGAAGGAGGGTTGGTCAGGAATGAAGTAAGAAGCACTACAGACAAAAGAAAAATGTTCAAAGACCGTATTTGTTCAATTAGGTAGCTGTGATGATTTTCAAAGAGTATCTGTTGAGTAGCTGGGAGACTTTTAGCTTAAGCCATATCATGAAAATTCATTGTAATCATATTAGAAAATCATAAAGCATATATTTTGCAAGCATTTGTACTTTTTTAAATTTCAGGTATGAAGTACTCATTAAGCCCTAACAACTACCCTGAAGATGGTATTATGAATATGGCAACTTTTCTACGGGGCTTTGAAGAAAAGGGAATAAAGAATGACAGGCCTGAGGATCAGCTGAGTAAAGAGAAAAAGAAAATTCTGTTCTCCTTCTGTGAGGTATGCAACATCCAGCTGAACTCTGCAGCCCAGGCACAGGTCCATTACAACGGTAAATCCCACCGCAAACGAGTCAAGCAGCTAAGTGATGGGCAGCCCCCACCACCAGCCCTGGGCTCTGGGCAGCTGCTGGCCAGCCCCAGCACCAACACCAGCGCAGGTAGGTGGAAAGTTCCAGGGCTCCATGTGCTACTTGGAGAGATGCCACTGTTCTAGAAAGTGAAGGATTTAGAACCTCTTTCACCATGAAACTACCACCACAATAATATGTATTCTTTTCCCCACAGGTAATTCCAAGAGCTGTTTGTTAGTTCTCTAGAGTGAGTGAGTGAATGTGTGTGTGTGTGTGTGTGTGTGTGTGTGTGTATAAAAAATTCATACATATTAGATACAAACATTGCACACACACACACTTTGTGATTGTAGACTTGGTCCTTATTCTCATAGAGTGTGAACATTTCCTAATGTATTTTGAAATGTGTTTAAAATAGACCGATGATGTCAGTTTTTTCCCCCTCTCTGCAAAATTAGGCTTTCTTAGGTTTCCTTCATCTGCTTTCTATAGGGTAGTGTACTACTTGATAGTACATAAAAAGCTACAGCTTTATTTATAACATCCCATGGTGCAGAAAAGGAGCATTAATCTTGAGTGTTAGACATGTTATATTCTTTTAGGGAGTTGGCAGCAGCAGCCAGTGGTGTTCTAACAATAGGAACAGGCATTGCCAAAGCCAACAAGGCTTACCTCTGTGCTCTGGCCTACTGCAAGCACCTTCCTGCCTTATCTCTCACCTCTCACTCTGTCCTGTAGGCTGGGTAGAGGCAGAAGCTTAGGAATTTTCACATTTCCCACACTCTGAATTTGAGAAACGTTATTTCAAATCCTTTATCTTAGGCAGCCCTTCCTCCTCCACATTCCTGGTCATTGGATATCTTCACTAGGACACAACTAAAGAAAATGTGAAATTTACTGTTATCCATGGTGAAGATCTCTACAAAAAGGGGGTGTACTACCCAGATTTATGTGGGAGGTCAAGATAAACTTCCTTATAAACATGGTAGAAGAGCTCTAAACTCCACTCTAGCAAACTCTTCATTCATCCTGCAGTGTGATGACGCAGAGCAGCCATTGGTTGGAATTTCACTTGGTGCTGTTACATAGTTTCTTATTTTGTGAAGTTATGCCATGGTCCATATTAGGCTCCACTGAAAGTTGTGTGTGTGCTATCAAGACATAATTTTTATATTTCAAGCTAAATCTAACTACTTCTTACTTCTTAGCACTTACTTACTTCTTTAATTTCATTAAATTCTTTTCCCCAGTCAATACTTAGCGTGCTGTGAAAGAACTTAAAGGAACTTTGAGGTTATAAGATACACATTCATTATAATAGTGAAAAATTACATTTCCATTTTGTCTTTATTTGTTATGATGATAATATAAATATTAACAGATGCATTACCGTATCTGTATTTGCATATTGAAACAGAGTTGATGTCAGGTTAAAAATTGATTTATTTAGTCTTATATCTGAGTCAGAGAGCAAATAGCCCTGAGTAAAGATTTGAATTGGGTCTGTTAGAGCCCAGATATCTATACCTAGATTGAGATTAACCTGTGACTTTTAATTCATGATAATAATAGCTAACATTAACTGATCATATTTTATGGGACATTTTCTGGTCATTTATAGGAATTTTCTCCTTTAATCTTTTCATCAACCTTGAAGTCGTTACTACGATTATCCCCAATTTTCAGACTAGGAATAGAGCACAGAGAAAGGAAATAATTTGGCATGGAAATGGAAGATCCAGAGTTCCAACCATATTTCATTAATTAATAGTGAAGCCGTTATTCTTTGTCACTACTTTGTTGCTGTTTTCTGGGATGCAGTAATACTCAGGTTAATTTCAAACCTGTGTGTTTGATATATTTGTGGTCACAAATGGTTACTATCATGCCATACTGTCTCACTTTGATGGGTTTTGAAATTATACATGTAAAGCTCCAACTCATGAGTTTCTCCATGCTAATGAAATTAGATGACATAAATAAATTTAGCTAAAAGGTACACAGAATATTATGGATATATTCTATAAGTAAAATATAGTTCATCATCTAATATAAAACAATATTAGGATATGGGAAAATGGGTAAGAAAATGAGTCAGCTTTTCAAGTTTTACATAGATATAAAGGACAATTTTCATATACAGATAACATAGTCAATTAACCATTGTCAGAAGATGGGTTTAGCATATGACGAAGGCAAGCCAGTTAATATCTGGAAGTGGTTAACATTAATACCCTCATTTGAAAAAAATAGTAGGTATAACAATGTCTTTTTCTCTTTCAAATAGAAATTAAACATAGATGTGTGTATGAAGATTATTATGACATGATTTATGATTCCAAAATATTAGGTGTATCCTGAATATCCAATAGAAGAAAGGTTACATACATTATGGTATATTTATAAGATGAATAGTAGAAACTATAGGCATTAAAAATTGTATTTGGGTTGTTCATAGCAGCACTCTCCACAATAGCTAAAACATGAAAAGAGCCTAAGTGTCCATCAACAGATGAATGGATCAAGAAGATGTGGTTTATCTATACCATGGAATACTACATGGCAATGAGAAACAATGAAATCTGGCCATGTGTAGCAACATGGATGGACCTTGAGGGTGTTATGCTGAGCGAAATAAGTCAGGCAGAGAAGGACAAATATCATATGTTTGCACGTATAGGAGGATTAGGAGGAACTTGACGGAGGAACAAGGGGGAGAAGAAGGGCGGAAATGGTGGGGGAAAGGGAGAGAGGCAAACCATGAGAGACTCTTGAATGCTGACAAAAACTGAGGACTGATGGATGTGGGGGGGAGGGGGGGATGGGCATGGAGGAGGGCACTTTGGGGATGAGCACTGAGTGTTATGTAGAAACTAATTTGACAATAAACTATTTGTAAAAAAAAAAAAAAAAAAAATTGTATTTGGGGGCCACCTGGGTGGCTCAGTCAGTTAAGCATCTGACTCGGTTTCAGCTCAGATCATGATTTCATGGTTCATGAGTTCAAGCCCCATATCAGGCTCTACATTGGCAGTGCGGATCCTGCTTGGGATTCTCTCTCTCCCTCTCTCTCTGCCCCTCCCATGATCTCACCCTCACTCTCTCTCAAAATAAATCCATAAACATTAAGAAATTATATTTTTGAAGAATACTTAAGGACAGGAGAATCTGTCCACAAGCTCATGATAAGTGAAACAGCAGGCACTAAAGTGGACTATGCCTTAGTGCTGTATGTGCCTGCATACTTCTCTACTATTTAGAGTCTCAACTCACTGAGGAACAAGCCTGTCATGGTTTTATTTTTTCCAGTCACTTTCTTTAGTTTTGATCTATCAAACGTCTGTTTCTTGCTGGATAGCAGTTCCCTTAACACTTTCTCAGCCCATAACTTCTCACTTTTGTATATTCAGTGGGATTCTGACTTGAATGATTCAGCTCTATTTATAAAAAACATCTATGTCAGAGTCAGATTAAGATTTGACTAGATAGACCCTGGAGTTTAGAGTGGAGGATGGGACATGGCTGGCCTCCAGTCTCCCCTGCTTTGGCCTGCCCTTCTGCCCGGGAGGGATGGGGGAGTGGAGGTGGCCTTACCTAAGAGCTTTGACAAGGTTGCAATGCTCTTCTTGGTAGGGGATTGTTATTCTGGTTGTGTCTGTGGGTCACAAGTACTACTAACAGGCCCTGTGGATGAGGAACTCCCCCAAAGTATCCCTTAGGCATTGGGAATCCCTGAAATTTAGTTGCAGCTCTCACCTTACCCCCACGTTGTAGCAAAAGACTCCCTTCCTCAACTGTGCATGCTTTAATCTCCCACATTGTGGCAGTCTGGTAAGAGTGTATCCTCTCTTCTTATCTAGGTACTTATCAACTCTTAGGGCTTGAGAGAATGTGCAAAATACATCTGACAACTAATATTCCTCTTCAAAACCTGGAGCTGCTGGGGCATGGGCAGGTAGAAATGGAGTGGGGTGTGGGGGACCTCACATTTTTCTTGCCTGTTCAGGTAGCACAGGGGAGACTTGGAAGTCCACTGACAAAGTAGAAACATAGTCAAGGAACAAAGTGTCACTGTCTCTTTTTGCCCATTGCTTCACTTTGGGGAGTGTTGTGGGCTGAGTTTTGGAATCCTAATCCTCAGCACTTCAGGATTTGTAAGATTGGGACTTTGTAAAGTAAATTAAGTTAAAATGAAGTTTTTAGGGTTAGGTTGAACCTAATTCAATATGACAGATATCCTTGTAAAAAGAGGAAATTTGGACTAACAGACACACAAAAAGAAATGATGTAAAGAGACACAGGGAGAAGACAGCCATTTACAAATCAAGGAGAGAGGTCTGAAATCAGTCCTTTTCTCAGTCTCCAGAAGGAACCAACAGTGTCACACCTTAATCCTGGACTGCCAGCCTCCAGGACTGTGAGATGATGTATCTCTACTATTAGGCCACCCAGTTTGTGATGCTTTTGTTACAGCAACCCTAACAAACTGGTACACAGAGAAAAGTGGTAGCTCATTTTTCCTACAAAAGAGAAAAGATTTTTTAGTAGAGGTAGCTTTCCAAAGACCTGTCCATTTCAGCAGTAACTTTCTTCTCTCTGTCAGCCTCATTATAGTATAGGGGTAGGGAGGGGTGAGTGTGGGGTCCATAGGGTGGTTGTTGAAACTTAAGCCATTTCTCTGGATAAGAAGTGACTAACCCCTAACCACTGGCAGTTCTTTCACTAAACTTAGAATTCAAAACCTTTAAATCTCAGCTTCTGGAAGAACAGGAAGACTCTTACAGCACAGCTAAAACCATTCATATGTGTGTTTGTGTGTGGGTGTAAATGTACCAATGTAGTTTTTTTCCTGAGCAAGGAAATCATTATGAGTAGTAGCAAGATCCTTTTCCCAGCGCCATCCCTGGTCAAATATTGTAAGAACACTCTGGCTGCAGAAGGGAGAAATAGGTAATGCAAAGAGAGCTTAGGTAACTTAAGTCTACATGGGAAGGATCCTTACTCCTTTACCCATCAGTACCAAGGGGTAGGTGGAAATAGCAGAAACCACAGATTAGTCTTGGTTCCAGACAAAGTGGTTACATGCT